CCTCATTATAGATCCGAAGGAAAAAAGGCATTTGAGTGACCCAAAAGGGACCATGCCAGAACCAAAAAAGTCTGAGACAGATCAGAAAGAGAAGAAGATAGTGTCCCTCATTACAGATCCGAAGGAAAAAAGGCATTTGAGTGACCAAAAAGTGACCATGCCAAAACCGAAAAAGTCTGAGACAGATCACAAAGGGAAGAAGACAATGTCCCTCATTACAGATTCGAAGGAAAAAAGGCATTTGAGTGGCCCAAAAGTGACCATGCCAGAACCGAAAAAGTCTGTAACAGATCACAAAGGGAAGAAGACAATGTCCCTCATTACAGATTCGAAGGACAAAAGGCGTTTGAGTGACCCAAAAGTGACCATGCCAGAACCAAAAAATCCTCTGACAGATCTGAAAGAGAAAAAGACAATGTCCCTCATTACAGATCTGAAGGAAAAAAGGCGTTTGAGTGACTCAAAAGAGACCATACCAGAACCAAAAAAGCCTCTGACAGATCTGAAAGAGAAAAAGACAATGTCCCTCATTACAGATCTGAAGGAAAAAAGGCGTTTGAGTGACTCAAAAGGGACCATGCCAGAACCGAAAAAGCCTCTGACAGATCTGAAAGAGAAGACAGTGTCCCTCATTGCAGATCAGAAGGACAAAAGGCGTTTGAGTGAGCCAAAAGATAAGACTGTGACAGTCCCAGAACCCAAAATCAAGACGCCTGGAGCAGAGACAAAAAAGAGGATGGTGACATTTTTGACAGAAATAAAAGACAAGATGATTGTGGTAGACACAAGAGAAAACGAGATTGCATTCTTAGATACAAAACAAAAGGTGATTGTGCCATTTGTGCCAGAAGTCAAAGAGAAGAAGCCTGTACAGTTGATAAAATCAAAAGAGAAAATGTCTGAGCCATTTTTGTCAGTTTTACCGGTTGAACCAAGTGTACCAGTTGGGGCAGTTGGACCAGTTGGGCCAATTGTGCCAATTACAGCAGTTGGGCCAATCGTGCCAATTGCACCAGTTGTACCAATTGTGCCAGTTGCACCAGTTGCACCAGTTGCACCAGTTGCACCAGTTGCACCAGTTGCACCAGTTGCATCAGTTGCACCAGTTGTGCCAGAAGTAGAAGAGAAGATCTCAGTGCCAGGAGTGAAAGACAAGAAGGAACTGCCAACTGTGCCCCAGATAAAGGAAACTAAGGCTTTGCCAGCTGAACCAAAGATAAAAGAAAAGAAGGTTGTGACTAAGACAAAAGAGAAGGCACCCATGACAAAAACAAAAGAGAAGAAAACTGTGTCAAAGGTAAAAAAGAAAAAGTCTGTGGTAGGAGGAAAAAAAGCCGATAGGATAAATGAGATAGCTCGGAATGTGGTTCAGGGCGTTCTGGCTGCTGCTGTTGAGCTTGTGGAAGGTAGGCTTCAGGTTTGCTTGCCTTAACGATTGCCTCATTACTGTAACACCACACTCCTAGGCAACTAATACACCCATGCCTTGTTTTCAGGTTCCAGAGACCCCATCAAGAACATCGACTGGCTCACTCATGGGGAATTCACAGTAGAAAAAGGTCGGCAACAAATTGAAATGTATGTCTCGGTAAGTGACTTTGGTCACTCCAGTTTTGTACCCAAGGGCAACAATAGAAAGGTCCTCCATTGATCAAAAGTTTGAGGTCATGAAAACCAGAGGTGGGGCATCAAAGACACATAGAGTAAGTAAACATAATTTTCTCATAACTCAAGATAAGAAAGTTTTGCTTACTTATTTTTTTTAAGAATTGTACACCCTTCAGGTCTTTTCTTAAAAAAGATTTATATTATGTGTATGAGTGTTTGTCTTGTGTGTATATATGTGCACTGGGTGTGTGCCTAGTGCCTGTGGAAGCTGGAAGAGGGTGTTAGATGCCCTGGAATTGGACTTGCAGGTGACTGTTGAGTTACCAAGTAGATGCTGGGGACTGAACCTGAGTTCTCTGGAAGATTAACCAGTGTCCTTAGTAAGCCATTTCTTCAGCCCTATTTTAAATTTTTTGAGACAGGGTCTCACTTTGTAGCCCAAGTTGGCTTGGAATTTGGTATGTAGATTAGGCTGGCCTCAAACATACAGAAATCCATCTGCCCCTGCCTCTTGAATGCTGGGATTAAAAGGGTACACCACCTCCCCAGTCAGGAAGCATTCTTAACCACTGAACCATCTCTCCAGCCCCAAGGTGGGAAAATCATTCAAACACAAAGTGCAGCCATATTGCCATGCATTTATATCATCTTAATTGTCCATTTCCTGAGGAAATGCTATTTCCACATAAGTACTTTGTCCATGCCAATATATTCAATGGGGGCCTGCTGGCCTAAGGAGAGAGAAGCATTATCTAAAATAGCTTTCTTCCAACAATATTGGTATGTTCAGGTTGACAGAGGGGATTCAGATGGGACAGATGTCTTTATGTTCATATACAGTGTTGGATATCGAATTAACAGCATTACCTGTACTATGGATGTTTCCTATTACTCTCTTTCTCTCTCTCCTTTTTTTCTTTTTGGGACAGGGTTTCCATGTGTAGCCTTGGCTGTCGCAGGCTCACTTTGTAGACCAGGCTGGCTTTGAACTCACAGAGATCTGCCTGTCTCTGCCTCCTTGAGTACTGGAATTACAGGTGTGCACCACCACACCTGCCTCTGAGCTACTTTCTCTACTCCCAGGATCAATATCCTTTTTGCTGTAATTTTGGAATACATTGCCCTGATGGTAATAATGATACACAAGCCTGTCAATCCTCCCCCACCTGCAACCTGTGCCTGGCTCTGACCCTTTTAGGTGGCTTCTGGGCAGTAAAACCACAGTTGCTTTGCAGTATGGGTAGGGTAGATGAAGAAGAATGGCTTGAAATCCCTTCTCACCACTTTCTCTGAAGGGAGATTAGTTGAAATTGGAGGTGAAGTCACCTAGCCCTGTCCAAGCCTACAGTCCCAAGGGCAGTTTCCTAAGCCCTGGCCACCAAAGCCAAGTGGCCCTGGGAGAAAAGAGGGAGGGCTGACTTCCCACCCACTTCTGTACAGCACTGGGTACCACGCAGGGGTTCCAGTAGGAGCGGCATCTACAGCTCTCTGGGAATGAATGGCATGGGTGACTATTGAACATCCTGCTCTGGTGTGAGTTTTCTTTTCAGGCTGAGCAAAGACGCCTGCTCACCGCATTCAGGGCTCTTGACTCAAACTAGAAGCGGCCATGGCAAGTAGCAAATTGTCCCTTGCCAAAGGGACAGCTGTTTTGAGTAAATGGCAAAGTAAGGTGGGCCACAGGCCTGTAAGACCCAAGGTGATGAGTGCCCTGCTTGCCTCCCAACTTCATGGCTCAGACCCCATTATAAAACTTTTGCCCTCTCCCCTTTCTCACCCAGCCATGGCTGCCTCTTTGCTGTTCCTCAGCTGCTAGGCATAACCCATCACCATGGCCTTGGTGCTTGCTCCTCCCTGTACCCTGAGACCTATGTGAATGACTCACTACTTTGCCTCCCTTTAGATTTTTATGGACTGCCACCTGCTCTTTGAGGCCTTTCCTTGTCACTTCACCTAGACCTGCCACCTTCTCCCTTTCATTCATTCCTCTCTTAGAAGTATCCCTCAGGAGCGCTACCTAAGAGAGTGGACACCATTAATTTATCCCACTGTCAGTCTTCCATCACTAGGTCATCTGATCCAGGAAAGCAGAAAGTTTTGGTCAGTTTTTCCCTAGGCTTCTAGCAATGTCAGGTGCAAAGTAGATCCTCAATAAGTCTTTTTGGGCACATGAATAGATTTATCCTCTCTCTTCTCTTCTTTCCCCACCTCTCCTTCTCTCCCTTTATACCTCTCTCACACCTATTTTGAGACAGGTTGTCCTTGAACTTGCTGTGTAGTTGAGAGTGGCTTAGATTCCTATTTCCTGACACAGTCTCCAATGTGCTAGGATTACAGGCTTTTGCTATAATTCCAGCTATTCACAATACAGTTCTATTCTTCCAAAGGTCACCTGCCATGGCTAACAGTTTTGTGCATGTACTTCCAGGTGCCTGCTGATTTTGAGTGTCCAATAATATAGAATGGGCTAAGCCATCCATGGCAGACTAGGACCATGTCAGTGAGTATGTGAAGGGATGTTATGTAAAATTACAACACACAAGGAAAATATGCATTCACTGGAGTGACATAAAAATCTGTTGTCCAAGCCAAGCCTATTGGCGCATGCCTGTGATTCCAGTACTCAGGAGGTAGATCTCTGTGAGTTCGAGGCCAGCCTGGTATACAAAGCAAGTCCGGGCCAGCCAAGGCTACACAAAGAAACTGTGTCTCTAAAAAAATTAATAATAATAATAAAATCTGTTGCCCATTCACTCGTAAAAGAGGAAGTGGTTGACTTATAGAAATAATAGAATTGAATGTCTTAAGGTTGCTTTAGTTCACATAAAAGATACAAGTACAGTACAAGCAAGTAGAAAGGAAGAAACTGAGAATTGAGGCATCTGGTGGAAAGCAGACAAAACTTAGCTTGCTGCCCAGAAGCCCCTAGGTATCAATCCAGGCATGAGTCCTCACTATCTTCCTCTGAAAAGTGAACAGCTTTGTTAGACTATCTCTAGGAAGTATTCTAGTGCTTCGTAATCTTTGTGTAACAAACATTCCCACTGGGAACAAATTTGAGTAACTGAGAAAGAGTGAGAAAAGTGGGGCACAAGGAGTTGACTGCCAGGCTTCTTTACAAGAAAAAAAGAAATAGTGCACTGGGCAGATTGGCATATGACTGTAATCTTATTGCTTAGGTGGTAGAGGCAGGGAAATTAGGAGTTCAAGCCTACCCTGGGCTACATGACACCTTATCTCAAAAACAAAAAAGTGTCTAGATATATAGCTCAGTTGGTAAAGAATTTGCCAAGCAGGCATTAAGTACTGGGTTTAGCCCACACTGAATAATCAAGGCATGGTAGTATATGCCTTTAATGCCAGCACTTGGGAGATAGAGGCAGGGGAAATAAAAAGTCAAGATCATCCTTGACTACAACAGCAAATTAGAGTTCAGTCTGGGCTATATATAATAAGGCCCTTTCTTGAAACAAAAGGGGGAGGTAATATCACATGATGATGGGAGAAGGCTTAGTCGCTGATCTCAACAAACTGAGCACTGCTTCTCTGTTGTGGCTAAAGTGGACAATTGGATATGGCAAAAGTCCAGACTGTTTTATTTTTTTAAAGAAACAAAAAATTTTAAACTAATTCTTCCTCCATCCCACCTCTCATCTCTGTATCATCAGACCATCTGACAAAAGGCCAGGCTGTTGTGTGGTGCAAGCTAAACACTGTAATATGCTTTTAATTGGAGATACTCAGGAGGCTGAGATAGGATGGATAGTTGGTTGAGTCCAGGAGTTAAAGAACAGACCAATCAACACAATGAGACCTCCCTGCACCTCCAAAACAAACAAACAGAGCCACTCTAACTTGGATCCATAATGAACAAGTAGGGGTTGGAGGATAATGACTAGTTCTATTTTGATTGGAAAAGTATGACACAAAGGTGGAAGGTCTTACCCAGTTTGGGCCTAGGATGTACCTGAGTTGGTACAGTGGCCTGTGTTTGTCCCCTAGAACTGCATAAGTTAGACATGGTGGGGCACACCTATCATACTAGCTCTTGGGAGGTAGTATGGAAGTTCATAAGCTCAAAGTTACTATACAATGAGTTCAAGGCCAGTCTGAACTAAAGGAAATCTTGTGCTGTCCCACCCCAAAAATGTAATGGGCCAGTGGTTAAATCACATACATAAGCAAGTGGACTGAAATTTGGCTCCTCAGAACCCATGTAAATGCTGGGTATGCATGGTAGCCTACCTGTAATTCTAGCTTTAGAAGGCAGAGACAGTGAATCTCCAGAGACAGCTCACAAATGCAAAGCTGTGGAATTGAATCACTGAGAGACGCTGCCTCAAAAATAAGGAGGAAGAGTAATTGAAGAAGATTCCAGATATTTATTTCAGGCCTCTCTCACACACACACCAAGCATGCATGTTCCCATAAAATGCATATGCACACACACACACACACACACACACACACACACACACAACATACACCACATACACCATACACATATAATGTAGAAAAGAGTTATATTTTGTTTTTTAATCCAGACTGTGGGAAATCTTAAATGACATTTTCACTTTCTTTGATTTTCAATGAGCTACTGAAAGTTTCAGAGTTGAGCTGCTGATTTGAAGCTAGGCTTGAGGAAACTAACCCTAGCTTAACAACAGGAGGTGCTCTGGAGAAGTGCAGCTAAGGACAACGGAGTATATACAGGAGGCTTCTTCCCAGGGTCTGATGAGCACCAGTAATGCTAAAGTGGAGTAGTGAGTGGTACCAGTATCTGAGAGGAGTGGAGAGACATGTAGAAATGTAGTGTGCCACAGTAGAAAGGGCACACATGAATGAAGATGAACACAATATATGTGAATTGGGAGGGACCAAAGGACTGAATGAATAGTGTGTGTGTGTGTGTGTGTGTGTGTGTGTGTGTGTGCACATGCCCATGTAGACTGAATAGTGTGTGTGCACAAGTTTATGTGGACTAAATGAACACTACCTGTGTGTGCACATGTGCGCACATGCCTATGTGGAAGTCAATGGCTGACCAGGTTGTTGTTCCTTAGGTCTGTCTAACCTCCAACATTTTTTTTGAAACAGGGCTTCTCACTAATCTTACTGGTCACCTAGTCACCAACTAAGATAGATTCTCTGGGCAAGGATTTGCCTGTCTCTGCCTCCCCAGCACTGGAATTACAAGTACACCACACTGGGGTTGGAGAGATGGCTCAGAGGTTAAGAGCACTGGCTGCTCTTACAAAGGTCCTGAGTTCAATTCTCAGCAACCACATGGTAGCTTATAACCATCTATAATAAGATCTGGTGCCCTCTTATGGCCTGCAGGCACATATGCAAGCAGAGAACTGTATAAAAATAAATAGATAGATAGATAGATAGATAGATAGATAGATAGATAGATAGATATAAATATTTTAAGGAAAGAAACACAAAGAACCGTGCATGACTTCTTAAGGGGGTGCTGAGACTTAAACTCGGTCTTCATGCTTATGGAGCTGGCCCATTCCTGACTGAAACATTTCCCCATGCTTCCCCTACTTTTTGAGACAGAGATTCATAGAAAGAGTGGCCTGGAATAATAGAGTTGATGATGACTTTGATTTCTCAATCCTCCCGTCTGCACTCTCCAGGGGCTGGGATTACAGGCCTGTACAGGATTACTATAGCTGCCTCTGAATGGATGCTGGGTGCTCTCAATAATATTGTTAAACTTTCATCAACTATTCCCATCTCAAAGGCAAAAACAGGTTCACAAAGCAGAGATACTCCAAGTTTAATATCTGCACATTGGCTCTTCAAGACACCAGTAATCCCAGCACTTGGGAGGAGAGGTAGAATTTGTGAGTTTGAGGGCAGCCTGGACCATATAGTGTGACTGTGTCTTAAAAAGACTCTTGTTGCAGATGTAGCCCATGGCAGTGGACTTGGGGAGGGGCATGCATGAAGAAGGGGTAGGGAGGGTGGGACCGGGAGGGGAGGAGGGAGGGGCTTATGGGAGGATACAAAGTGAATAAAGTGTAAAATATATATATATATATAAAGACTCTTGCTTGGGAATCAAAACCAGGGCCTTATAAACATGAGGCAAACAAACACTGCTACTGAGCTGCATCCCTAGCCTCCCTTTTGAGGGCATGTGGATAAACCAACTGCCTAAATCTTCTGGCCTCATTTTACTTTTAGACTTATTGTGTGAGTATGGGGATCATGCACGTAGCAAAGTCCACATGTAGAGAGGTCACAGGACAACCTTGTGGAGTTAGTTCGGACCTCCTTGTACCTTCACAGGGATCCTGCAGGTTGAACTCTTAAGACCTCAGGCTTGCATAACAAGTGCCTTCACTGACAACTTTCCCCAAACCTTGGCCCTTGCTTCATGAACCATATAATACAACAAATGAAGTAAGTCCAATTTTACAGATGGTTGAGACTGAGTCCATTATCTTCTAGTCATTCCTGTAGGTCTCCTAAGATGAGGTAAGCACAGCACCTACTTTATCACTAATTATTCTCCAACTGCCACACACTTGCCTCCTCAGTGAAGATGCGAAGAGGGTGGTGTGGAAACACACACTTTAATGCTTGCCTCTGCTCTGCCTACACCACCATCCAAAGCTTGTCTCAAATGAGTTTTGTGTTCCCAAATTAGTCCATAGTCCCTCTGCTGTGGGAATAACTTGGAGTTGTTTCTAGTTTGAATCAAAAAAGAATTTTTTTGAAAGGTTAAGATTTCAGAATTTGAAACCCTGACTGTTAAGTACTTGAACTGAACCTGCTTTTCTTTCTCAGTGAGCTTTCTCTTTTTTCTATGAAACAGAATTGGGACTTTCAAAACCGCTGGGTGTCCCATGCAGATTTTGTAGAGAAGAAAGACTTCATTCACTCCTTTCACTATATCTACCGTGTATGCTGGAGTGCACCCACTGCCGTGAGACCCATGGCACAATTCAGTGCCAACGCCTACTTCACCATCAAGTTCAATAAGAGCAAATCTCCGGTAAGCTCTTCTTTTTGTGTCCCAATCCCTTCAGTAAGGATTCGGCGTTGGTAACATCTCCTCTAGTCAGGGGCATTATTAAATCTCCCCAGCCCCGCCCCCACAACACTGCAAAATGTAGGGTTTTATGAAGACAGGTTATGATCTTTAACAACCTAGATCACCAAGGGTGCCCCTGAAATTGTGATCCTCCTGCCTCAGGCTCCCCAGTGCTGAGAATACAGGTGTGTACCACCATGCTGGCTCTAACAAATTCAAAAACTGTGAGTTTGTTTCTGTGGGGCTGAGGTTTGAACCCAGGACCTCGCATGTGTGAGGCAGCTGCTCTGCCATTGAACTATGTCTCTAGCACTCGAAACTTAATAGTCATGTTTCTGCCTTCATCTTACTTGGCCCAGCTGTAGCACTCACCATGCTGATTGTTCTTTGCAACATTTTGCATTTGGTTTCTGGAACATGCTCTCCTGGTGTGCCTTGTGCCCCATTTACCATTCCTTTGCAGCATGTACTGGTGTGTCTGCCTCACTCTAATATATTCATGTTGGAATGTCCTAGTCCCCGTCCCTGTACTTACCTTGATTAACTTTATCCAGTCATGTGACTTTAAATACCACCCAGAGATAGATGCTCATAGTTGCACCTACTCAGAAGACTGGAATGGGAGGGTCATTTGAATTCACAGACTAGCCTAAGCAACAAAACCTAAAGCTGGGCATAGTGGCACACACTCAGGAGGTTGAGAATCACTTGAACCCAAGAGTTTATGGCAGGACTTGAGAAGTAGTTCAGCAGTTAAGAGCCCTTACTGTTCTTGTTAGGTTTGGTTCCCAGTACCCATGTCACATGGCTCGTAACTACCTGTAACTCCAGGTCCACCGGGTCCAAGGCCTCTAGCTTCTGGCTTCCAGGGCATGGCATTCACAAGCATATACCCCCTACACACAGACACACACACACCTTAAAATAAAATCCAGGGATGGCTCAGTGGTTAAGAGCACTAGCTGCTCTTGCATAGGACCTGAGTTAGATTCCTGCCACCCACATGGCAGCTCACTCCAGTCCATGGGGTTTTGGTCCCAGGCACATGTACATTGCACATATATACATGCTGACAAAACATTCATATACACAACATAATAAAATAAAAAGAACTTTAGAAAAACATTTATACCTAGAAAAAAAAATTTAAGTTTTGGCAACCAGCTTAGGTGACATAGTGTGATTCCTTAAGCTCAAAAAATAAGTGAATCAATAAGATAAATATCACTTAGACCTTGTCATTTCTAAATCTCTAGCATATATTGAGATTTAGTGAACGTTTCACTTACCATTTTATTTTGTTTTGTTTTTCCAAGACAGGGTTTCTCTGTGTACCCTTGGCTGTTGTAGACTCACTTTGTAGACCAGGCTGGCCTCAAGGTCCACCTGTCTGTGCCTCCCTGAGTGCTGGGATTACAAGTGTGCACTACCACACTCAGCTTTATTTAACCATTTTTAAAATTGATTTTGTTTCTGAGGTCCTGGAGGTTGAACTTGGGACCTCTGCATGCTAAACAAGAGCTCTACCACTGAGCTGTCTCCCCAGCCCTGGAACTGAATGGATTTTCCCTATAATATCTGACCCACTTCAGGTCTTTGCATCTGAGTTGATGGCTGAACCACAGCACCTTCCTTGATTCTTCTTTTTCTCTTACATCCCCGCGCCCTTAAACCATTAAAAAATATGTACAGCCGGGAGTGGTAGGACATGCCTGTAATCCCAGCATGTGGGGAAGCAAAGGCAGGCAGACCTCTGAGTTCAAGGCCAGCTGGTCTATAAAGTGGGTCCTTGACAGCCACAGAGAAAACCTGTCTCAAAACAACAACAAAAAGTGTACAGGATCCCAGCTCTCATATCCTCTGCCATTTAGGATTATTTCAGTAGCTTAACTGGTCTCTCTCTTTCTGTTCTTGCTCACAGGTAGTAGCTAGCCAGCCAGAACCCTTTAAAGCAAATTTCCATCACTCTTCTGTTTAAAGATTTTTATTATTTATGTGGGCATATGTGTATATAAATGTGCATGTGAGTGCAGCTTTCATACACAGAGGCTTCACATACTCTGGATCTGGAGTTACAGGCTGCTGTTAGTTGCCTGCCATGGATGCTAGGAACTCAGGTCCTTTGTAGGAGCACTCTTTCTTTTACTTTTCCTTACTTTTGTCTTTTTAAAAATTTGGTCTTTTGAAACAGGGTTTCTCTGTGTAGCCTTGGCTGTCTTGGGCTTGCTTTGTAGACCAGGCTGGCCTAGAACTCATAGAGAGACACCTGCCTCTGCCTCCCTGAGTGCTGGGATTATAGGCATGCTCCACCTCACGTGGCTTGTAGGAACACTCTTAACTGTTGTGCCATTTCTCCAACCTCCACTCCTTTGTTTAAAATGTCCCCAAAGTGGTTCTGCAACTTCAAAGTACATGGAAATGATTTGAAGATTTTGCTAGATTCTGATTCGGCAGGTCTGTGTAGGGCTAGAAATGATACATTCTTGTTGCTTTGTTTCTATTTTATTTATTTTTGGAAACAGGGTTTCTCTGTGTAGTCCTAGATGTCCTGGAACTCACTCTGCAGCTCAGGCTGGCCTCCAGAGATCTACCTGTCTCTGCTCCCTGAGTGCTAGGATTAAAGGTGTGTGTCACCACTGCCTGACTGAGATAATACATTCTTAAAAACTCTTAGGTAATTCTGACAGTGCACATCTAGAGAGTAGCAAGGGCCCATGAGCTATAACTATATGTAATACACATGTTTCCTCCCTTTCTCCTCCCTCCCTCCCTCCCTTAGCAGTCTTTCTGCTGGCAGAGCAGAGGTTAAGAAGTAAGACTGGTGATGGCAAGCAAGAGCAGATATCATACACTGAGGTCCTAAGAAAAGGCTCTTGCTCAAAATCCCAAGACTAATTTTGAAGGTGAAAAATAGGTGGGGGTTTTAGGTGGTGATGGTGCATGCCTTTGATCCCAGAACTTGGGAGGCAAACAGGCTGTGAACTTTAGGCCAGTGTGGTCTACAGAGCAAGTTCCAGGACTGTCAGGACTACACAGAGAAAACCTGTCTTTAAGAAAAATATAGGTGAGGACCATTGCAATATTATTACCTACATTCTTTCTGCCTACAAACTGTACTTGTTATGGGGAATGGACAGATGGCTTAGTTAAGAGCACTTACTGCTCTTGCAGAGGACCTAGATTCAGTTCTCAGCACCCACATGATGGCTTACAACTATCCATAAATCTAGTTTCAGGGATCTGCCATCCTCTTCTGACTTCTGTGAGCACCAAGCATATACATAATGCATGTACATGCAGGCAAAATACTTCCACATACAAAATAAAAATTAAAATTAAAATTAAAAATGTAAAGGAAACTTTCTACTTATTGCTCTTGCAGAAGACCAAAGTTCAATTCCCAGCACCCAAACCAGGAACTTCACACATGCCTGTAAGTGCAGCTTCAGAGAATCCAATTCTTTCTACTGGCCTCTATGGGTTCCCACATACAAGCATACACATCCATATTCATAAAAGCAAATAAATCTTTTAAAAAATCTCCAGTTCCCAAGTAAAACAAACCTGTAAGAGAACTTCATTTTTTAAAAAAAAATGTCAGCTGGATGCAGTGACACATGTCTTTAACGCCAGTGTTCAGGAGGCAGAGGCATGAGAGTTGCTGTGATTTTGAAGCCAGCCTGGCCTACAGAATGAGTTCCAGGACAGCCATGGCTCTGTTACACAGATAAACCCTGTCTCAAACAAACAAACAAACAAACAAACAAAATCAACCATTACAGTGGTTCATACATAGAATGTAAGCATTACCGAATCTGAGACAAGAGGATCAATTGCCTTGAGTGTACCACCAGCCTGGGCTATGGTATAAGATCCTATATGAAAAAAAAAAAGTTAAGAATTGGTCTTGTGACACTATTTTGAAGGCTGTGAAGCCTTCAAGAGGTGGGTTCTAGCTGGTGGAAGTGGGTAACTAGGTAACTAGAGATGAACCTTTGAAGGAAGTATGCTCTCTTATGTTCCATTTGTGTGTCCTGTCTCCTTGTATGTGCCATATGAACAAACCATACCTCATGCTCCTGCCACTATGTCCTCCCTACCGTCATCAGCTGAAATCATCTGAAATCAGGAGCCAAGAATAACTTTTTTTTGAGACAGGGTTTCTCTGTGTAGCTATGGCTGTCCTAGAACTCACTGTGTAGACCAGGCTGGCCTTGAACTAACAGAGATCTGCCTGTCTCTGCCTCCTTAGCAGCGTGCTGGGACTAATGGCGTGCACCACTGTGCTCATCCCCAAAATAATTCTTCCTCCTTGGAAAAAGTATATTTGTTAGAGCTAGGCTTGATAGCAACAACTGTAATCCCAGAACTTGGAAGGTGGAGACAAGAGGATCTGCTCAAGGCCAGCCTTTTACATACTAAGTCCAAGTCCAGACTGGGCTACACAAGACCCTGTCTCCAAAACCCGAATATATTTGTTGGGTGTTGCAGCACACTATAATCCAAGCACTTAGGCAACAGGTTTTGAGGAGAGGTTTCCATGCATCTAGATACTCAACACTAGTAGAGGTAACACAGCAAATTCCCTGCTTCAAGATAAAAATGTTCCAACCTCGTTCATCTATGTTATTTTCTTCTGGTTCCATTCCTAAGAGGTAGAGAGTCACAGCTAAGTAAACTGGAGCACGTAAAGAAGACAATAGAAATAAACCTCTGAAAAAAAAAAAAGCACACACACACACACACACACACACCAACCACAAACCCTCTCCCCTGCCAAAAAAATAGTACAGGCAAAAGAGTGATTCCTACTCTCATTGAAGAAGGCAAGCCTCTGCCAGTTGTCTCCAATCTTGTGGAGTAGCTTATGGTATCTACGGAAAAAAAAAAAAAAAAAAAAAAAAAACAACAAAAAACTTTTGTAGAATTGGTTTGAAATAATAAAGTACTACCAATTAATGGATTCCATGTTAATAAAGACAGACCCTGAAACTGCAAATATACCATATAGATAAGGGTAGAGTGGGAGGATTAAGCATTGGCTTGCTTGGTCCAGGCTTACAGTTGTCCCTCTCTCTTAGGATATGCCTGTTGATGTCTCTTATGTCTTTGAGAATTCAGAACTACTTCAAAGGTAATTATAGTTTGGAGACTTGTTCTAGATGGGTGAGGTAAAGGTTGTCACATTCTAGAATTCCAGCAGGCCATAAACACACATAATTCAAGCAGGGCTCACTTCACCTTTGGACTACTTACCCTACAATATGGGCTGAACATAGGATTCTAGCATTAGTATAGAAAAAAAAATTAACATTTTTTTCAGTAATTAGAAATTTAAGGATTTATGATAAAACAGGGTGGGGCACAGTGAGTCACGTCTATTATTTCTATGTATGTGTGTGTATGCGCGTGTGTTTGTGCATGTATGTATGTGTGTGTGTGTGTGTGTGTGTCTGCATGTTTGCATACGTGGTGCTGCATATCAAGCCCATGGTAGGCAGGGATTCTACCACTGAGATATAGCCCCAGGCCTCTTCAGGAAAACTTCAGAATTATACTGAATTTACTGTGGGTAGTAACCCCTTTTAGGCATTGTAGTGCATGTCTATAATGCCAGTACGTGGGAAGCTGAGGCAAGGGGATTGCTGTAATTTTTAGGCCTGCCAGGGCTATAGAGTAAGACCATGTTTCAGTTCTCCCCCTTCCAATAATGAACTAAACACAATGAATTAGCTCATGTGTAACAATCCATATATATAAATATATAAACATATAAATATATACGTTTATTTATATATAAATATATTTATAGGTATCTATAAATATATGAGAGCATAGCAGCTCTCCAAAAGACTTTTACATAGATCTAAAGAACAATAAAGAATATAGCTAGACCTAGCCAGAATCTTGCTCACTGGGAATATAAAGAGGGAATACCTGCCTCAATGTTTTGTTTATTATAAAAGCTTTGTGTGTGTGTGTGTGTGTGTGTTGTTTTTTTTCCCTTCCTCTGTAGACCAGGAAATATTCGATTTCGAGAACAATGGCTGAGGGACATTACTGAGACCAAACATATTTTGTTGGAGTCTATCCCTTTTAAATTTGCCTGATTCTTATGTTTAAGGATTCTTTTCACAATCAGTACATTAAAAATATGAAACGGCACATCAAACCACATAATATTTATTGAATAATAAACTTGTGGTACACAATCCAACTGTGTTTTTGCTTTTATTCATTATCAATCTTACAGTAAGTTCCTTTCTGTTTTTGAAAAGATTTTTCTCAACACTGTATTATGATTCTGGAGTCTGGCAAGCACAGAGTTGAATTTTGAACATTACTAAAGTTCACCCATTGGCCCTTAACTGTTTGGTCCTTCTCTATGCCTACCTCAAGACTTGATACACATTTTTATGGATATCCTGGGTAAGAAAATGGCAACAGTTCTGTAGCTCACACTAACCAGTCTGAAGGACTCTCCTCCTCACAGATCTCTTCTACTGTAAGGTGAGCCTTACTGCCACAGGACACACCATCATGCTCGTGACTATAATGAACCAGATATGGGTTACCACCCTTACTATTTCTGGTCTTGTTTCTGCCTTCACACTGGATCATCACACATTTCTACCTTCCCAATGGGGCTTCTATGCCTGCTCACATTATTTTAAAATACCAAAGACAAAATTACACTACACTTTGAGTGACAAAGACATACAAGAAACAGAACACTTATAACAACTCACGTGGTAGGACTGAGCAATCTTCTATTTTTACTATTATCTTTGTACAACAAATTAAAAATGAGAGAAAATCATATGAACAACAGGTAAGAAACTAGGTAAGTCTCTTTAGAGAACAAAACAAAGTATCTAAATTACAACAGTTCTATATAGATTTTTACACAGGCCTAAAGAATTATGAGGAATACAGGTAAAACCCTAGCCACTATCTTGTTCACTGGGAATGTAACAAACTGGGAATTCCTGGCTCAATTGTTTTGTTTGATTATGACTGTATGTGTGTGTGTGTGTGTGTGTGTGTGTGTGTGTGTGTGTATGTGTATGTGTATGTGTGTGTATGTGTGTATGTGTGTGTGTGTATTTTTTCCTCTGTAGGCCAGGGAAGATTTGCTTTTGGAAACAAAGGTTAACTTAGAGCTCAGGGGACAAAACACAGTTTGAAGCAGTAACTCAAATAACCTGAAAATAGAATACTTTTTAGCCCTCCACTTTGTAAAGGATCTGAAGCTATTCTTTTCAGATCTTATCGAAATAAACTGTGATGCAAAGAATGGTAAATTTTAAAATAAATTCTTATCTTTTTTCATTGCCTGTATCTACTCTGTGGAGGAGAAGATGCAAAAGAAAATCCATAATACCTATACACCCACAAAAATGTTGCATTGAAACTACATTTCCTATGAAAAAACAAAAACATATTCAGCCAGTTAACAAAAACTAATGCCTCTATAGAATAAATTTGAATGTATGGATTATAAACTTTATATTGTATCATATGAGGAAGTACATGGATTAAAAAGACTTCCAACTTTAGAACCTACTTTCCATTAAACTTTAGGAAACTATATACTTATTAGACCTAGAAGTATAAACACAGTGAAATAATTTCAAGTTCAAAGATGACAGATGTTACTACATGCTAACTGCTGCTCAGTTCAGCAGCTTTGGATTAAAAACACACTTTCCAAAACATATATTAAACTTTTCAAACAGTGACAAAGTGGGGAGGGTTTCTACAAAGTTAAGAATTAAAGACACTGATAGATATAAAAATGCTGCAGATCTTAACAGTGTTTAGAATCTGATAGCCAGGTGCAGTGGCACACATCTCTAATCCTACCACCTGGGAGGCAGAGGCAGGGGCAACTCTCTGAGTTCCAGGCCATCCAGGGCTACATAGTGAGACTCTGTCTCATAAAAGAAATCCAAATCCATAAAGGACTCATTGATAATGGTTAATATTTTACCTTCATCATCATGAAACAGCTAATTAAAATACTTATATTTCCCATATCAGCACTCTTGATACTCATTCTTTTAGATATTATCCTATCGTTAAAAATCAGCTTAGATAGAAATAGTATTCTTATAATGGCACAACAATAGACGTCCCAAAATTCCCTTTGAAAAAAATTCTTGCACTGCTGGGATTTAGCTTTGGGCCTCATGTATCATAAGCACATGTTCTAACTCTGAGCTATACCTTAGCCACTAAAAGAACTATTTTAACTAATTTATGAAGAACTTAAAACATCAAATGCTCACATTTTCTATTCCACACATTTGTGAGTTAGTCATTTGGTCTGCTTGTTTTTAGAGTAGAGGTAGACTTAGCCCAAAATACATTTCTAGGGAAGACTATAGAAACAAGTCAATTTTCAAATTCTAGAGTTGCCTTTTACAGCAACACCTTCATCTTGTTAACAGAAATCACCTACAGAGTTTCTGTCAAACCTGTTTTTCACACATTGAAGACACACATGAAATTCCCAAGTTCTGCTGGGGTAGGAGCAGACATGTATGGAGTTAATAATATTCACACCAAATCATGATATGAGAGTTATTAATTCTCATTAGGCTGCCACTTTCTCTCTATGCCACCTTCCTAACACAGCAGGATTTCATTCAAAATTTGGATTTTTACACCAGAAATTTGGGGTGAATCTAAAAAAGCCCCAAATAACTTACTAATGGTATCAACAAGCATCTTTTATAAGGGGCTGAAGAATTAAAAAGAAGGCACAGAAGCACTGAAAAGCCTTAATTTCAGAGCACAAGAGCCTTTTTGGCTTAGCATGGTGGTACACGTCTGGAATCTCAACACCTGGAAGGTAGAGACAGGAGACCAAGACTTTAGTCATCCTTAGTTACAAAGTCTGAAGCCTGAAGTCAACCTGGGCTATTTAAAACCACACATCAAAACATAACCTAACAAACAAAGAAAACAAAATGACCTTTCTGTGTATATGTCTAGAACCCACAATTTCCTTTGTGATGTTAAAATATCCACTTGTAAAGTCAGAAATCCCTCACTTGTCATCCTTCCCTTTAGTCTTTCTGTAAACCATCTCTCGAAAGCTGGCCAGGATCTTGTTCTCCCTCTTTCGTCTCTCTTCTTGGTTGAAGGATGCTAGGGCTCTCTTCTCATCAGCACTGTAGATCTGATTCTCCTTCCGCAGTCGTACAGCCTCCATTCGCCGGTGCCTGGAGACAATATATTTGGGTTAATTTCTTTTATAATTTTTATTTATTCACTATTCATTACAATTCACTCACTTTGTATCCCAGCTGTAGCACCCTCCCTCGTCTCCCAGTCCCAACCTCCTTCTCTCTTCTCCTCCTATGCCCTTCCCTTAGTCCACTGATAGGGGAGGTCCTCCTCCCCTACTATCTGACCCTAGATTATCAGGTCTCATCAGGACTGCCTGCATCTTCTTCCTCTGTGTTCTGGCAAGGCCGCACCCCTCACCCCCATGAGAAGGTGATCAAAGAGCCAGCCACTGAGTCAAAGACAGCCCCTTTTCCTCTTACTAGGGAACCCCCTTGGAGACTGAGCTGCCATGGGTTACATCTGAGCAGGGGGTCTAGGTTATCTCCATACATGCTCCTTGGTTGGAGTACTGGTCTCTGCAGGCCTTGACATAATTTCTTACTAATAATCCTTATAGCAGGTCCTCATCAATCCATTCTTAATCTAGACTCTTCTATTTAAAAAGTAACAACAGAACCTGGAGATGGGTTATCAAATGACCATACATTTTATCTGTTGATGTTTCCTTTTCCTTTGACTTATTTTTAGTATTCAAATAATAATCTCCGATATTTTATTAGCATAGTGGATTTTATCATTAATTTCAAATACTGAAGATATAATTTGTTTTTTATTATTTCTAATAAACTGAAATGGGAAACTTATTAAATGTTTTAAGTGATGGCTTGGGTTTTTTTGTTTTGTTTTGTTTTATTTTTTGTTTGTTTTGGATAGGGTTTATCAAGTAAACCCTAGGATGGAATTTTTTATATACACCAGGATAGCCTCAAACTCATACAGGTTCACATGCCTCTGCCTTTTGAGCACTCAATTAAAGGCATGTGCCACTATGCCCAGCCAGTAATAGTATTTGTCTTTGTAGAGTCTACAAAGTCTTTATAGCAGCCAGATGGAAGATTTATCTTAGCCAGATATGGTGGCACACATCTGTAGTCCCAACACTCAGGGAGGCAGAGGCAGGCAAATCTCTATGAGTTCAAGGCCAGCCTGGTCTACAAAATCAGTCCAACACAGTCAAGGCTATACAAAGAAACCCTCTTAGAAAAAAAAGATGTATCTTAATAAGTGGCACATCGCCAGACACGGTGGTGCACACCTGTAATCCTAGCATTCTGCTAGGCAGAGGCAGGCAGATCTTTGTGAGTTCGAGGCCAGCCTAGTATACAAAGTGAGTCCAGGACAGCCAAGGCTACACGAGAAACCTTGTCCTGGAAAAAAAATTAAGTGGCACATCAAGACTCAACTTCACTCATGCAAAGAAGAAAATCAAGTCTAAATCTATAACTGAAGAGACATTGTGTGGACAGCTTAATTTCCTTAGAATCTAGGAGTGTCACAAAGAAAGGGGAAAGGAATTCAGTCTAAGAATTAGATCAGGGAGAGGCGGGGCAAGATGGCAGCGCCGGGAGGACTCTCATTCTGAGGAGCAGCACAGCAGGATTGGCACAGTGACCAGCAATCAGAACTCGCTGCCATAAAACACAAGTGGTTGTGTTTCTCAGGTGAGAGGATACCCCACGGTGGGGGATTCGATCAGCTTTAACTCACCCGGCAAAACCGCGGAAGAGATCCCCGTTCCGCCAGGCGCTTGGTCGCCAGCCCAGAGCTACCCGCCAGCGCGATCTGGTCACGGTCCCAGACTGAACTGTGGGCCCACAACACCATAGACTGGATTTCCCAGTCGAGAGATAACCCCACGGAGCAGGAAACAATTGGGACCGACCCCAGGTTACCCAGACATCCCCTGGAAAAGACTCGGGTTCCGCGGGTGCCCCAGGAGCCAGCCCGGACCCAGAGCCGGGAGGGACAAAGGCGCCTGCCTGCACAGAGCCCTGCCTGCGCGTGATTCGCCGCCTCAGATAGAACTGTGGGCACCAGGGCAACAGGGCACCAGACTGCATGTCTCTGGCAGGAGGAAACCCCCAGCGGAGGGGGTCAGCAGCTCTAACGCTTAGGACACCCAGCACCAAAACACTTCCTGGACTCACGCAGACTCTAGTGCAGGCAGAAGCGCTGTGCTCTGCCGCCATTGTTGCGTTCCCCTGGGGCACTGGGACACACAGCTGCATCTTCGGACCTGCAGGAGCCGAAGAGCCATTACAGCAGCCCTCAGATACTGTGCCAGGGATCGGCCAGTTGTCCCTGGCTGGACTGCCAAAACTGTAGGAATCCCTGATCCTTCAGGGGGGCTGCACCCACAGTCTGGACCAGAGTGGTGCCTACAGCCGCCATCCCAGACAGAGACACACAGCTTCTGGTCCAGAGTGAGGCACCCAGCCTCCAGACCAGAACAGTGCCCCCAGGCGCCAACTCAACCTAGGTGCACATTCTCCAGGTCCAGAGCAGAGCAATCAGCCTTTGGCCCAGAGACTTGCTGAGTGCACCTCCCACTTTCTCAGACAGAACTGTGCGCCCCAGGATAACAGACTGAGTTTCCCTGTTAGGAGAAAACCCCATAGCTAGGGAATCAGCAGTTTCTTCAAGAGGACTGTACATGGAAATTTAGTGAGCAGCAGCACACTAAATTTATAACAAGAAATCCAGCAGTGGGGCAGCTGTCTTGAGAAATTTTATGGGTAAGAGGAGATCCCCCCCTGCCTAACATAGACCACAACTACTACTCAGGGCTATAAACCTGAGGTGAGCAGTGGCATCTCCGGAGAAACACTGGCCATACAGTGACCATAACCAAAAAGCAGAGAAGGACTCCTTCAGGAAAAATCATCTTCCGGCCAAGCGGATACTCCCTACCTCAGGACTCCAGGAAGCACAGAAACTAACAGCCAAAACCTAAATCAGCCCAATGGGTAGAGGTCAGCGTAAAGGCTCAACCAACAAAAGACAGAGCAATATGGCATCTCCAGAACCCAGCCATCCAGGGGCGAACAGCCCTGAACAATGCAGCATAATAGAAAATCAAGAAGATGACCTTACATCTATCTTGATGAAGAGAATAATAGAGGAAACAGATAAAATACGTAAAGAATTAGAGGAAGATAAAACCAAACAGATCATGGCTATCCGTAAAGAAATGGAGGAAGATAAAGACAAGCAAATTAGGGCCATCCGTGAAGAAATACGGGAAGATGCAGCCAAACAGCTCGTGGCCTTCAGAGAAGAAATAATTAAATCACTGAAAGAAATCAAAGAGACAGAGTTGAAGGAACTAAAAGAAAAAGAGGAAAATACAAGCAGACAGGTGAAGGAAGTAAACAAAACAACTCAAGACCTGAAGATAGAACTAGAAAAATTAAAGAAAACACAAATGGAGGAAATAATGGAGAGGAAGAATTTAGGGAAGAAAACAGGAACTACAGAGGTAAGCATAACCAACAGAATACAAGAAATGGAAGAAAGAATCTCAGGTGTAGAAGATACAATGGAAGAAATCGATGTATCTGTCAAAGAAAATGTTAAATCCAAAAAATTCCTGACACAGACTGTCCAAGAAATCCAAGACAATATGAAAAGACAAAACCTAAGAATAATAGGAATAGAGGAAAAAGAAGACTCCCTTCTCCAAGGCCCAGAAAATATTTTCAACAAAATCATTGAAGAAAATTTCCCCAAGTTAAAGGAGAAGCCAATAAGGATACATGAGGCCTACAGAACACCCAACAAATTTGACCAGAAAAGAAAATCCTCCCGCCACATAATAATCAAAACAGGAAGTATACAGAACAAAGAAAAAATACTAAAAGCTGCAAGGGAAAAAGGCCAAGTAACATATAATGGCAAACCCATTAGAATCACACCTGACTTTTCAACAGAAACTATGAAAGCCAGAAGGGCCTGGACAGATATCATGCAGACCCTAAGAGAACACAGATGTCAACCCAGGCTACTATACCCTGCAAAACTCTCAGTCCTCATAGACGGAGAAAACAAGATATTCAATGACAAAAACAAATTTCAACAATACCTACACACAAATCCAGCATTACAGAAGACACTGGAAGGGAAAATACAACCCAAGAAAATTAGCTTCTGTCAAGAAAACACAGGAAATAATTAACCTTACTACAGCAAAACAAAAAGCAACCAAGCACACAAACTTATGAACACAGCCAACATCAAAATCAAAGGATCTAACAGCCACTGGTCATTAATCTCTCTCAACATCAATGGACTCAACTCTCCAGTAAAAAGACACAGATTAACAGAATGGATACGTAAACAAGACCCAGCAATCTGTTGCATACAAGAAACACACCTAAGACACAAAGATAGACATTACCTGAGGGTAAAAGGTTGGAAGATGACTTTCCAAGCAAATGGACCCAAGAAACAAGCAGGAGTAGCCATTCTAATCTCTGATAAAATAGACTTTCAACCAAAATTAATAAAAAGAGATGAGGAAGGACACTTCATACTCATCAAGGGAAAATTCCACCAGGAAGACATCACAATCCTGAACATCTATGCCCCAAATACAAGAGCACCCACATTTGTAAAAGAAACATTGATAAAATTTAAACCACATATAGATCCCCACACATTAATAGTGGGAGACTTCAACACCCCACTCTCAACAAAGGACAGGTCAACAAAACAGAAATTAAACAAAGAAACAATATCTCTGACAGAGGTCATGAATCAAATGGACCTCACAGACATCTACAGAACTTTACACCCAAACACAAAAGAATTTACCTTCTTCTCAGCACCTCATGGAACCTTCTCCAAAATAGACCATATAGTTGGTCACAAAGCAAGCCTCAACAGATACAAGAAGACTGAAATAATCCCTTGTATCCTGTCTGACCACCATGGAATAAAGCTGGACTTCAACAACAACAGAAATAGCAAAAAGCCTACACACTCATGGAAACTGAACAACTTGTTACTAAATGACAGCTGGGTCAGGGAAGAAATAAAGAAAGAAATTAAAGCCTTTCTAGAACTCAATGAAAATGAAGACACAACATACCCT